GTTCCCTTATTAGAGTAAGTTGATCATTCCAGAAGGGTTTAAACTTGTGTTGTTTACCTGTAGCTATCCAATGTTTTCAATAAAATAAGTCAAATGTTAAAAAATGTCATAATAGAAATTACAAAATATAAAACTAGTAATAAAACTTTTCTATTAGTTGTAATTTAATGAATTCCCCCTCCTTTTAATGTTGCATTCTTAAAAATCTCCATATGCGGTGGCTCACACTTGTTTTCCGACACATCTTTTTGAAATTTATTTGCATAAATCTTGTACTAAATATTGAAACGTAGACTTCAAATTTTTTTTTCTGATATATTTTTTCATTTATTTTTTGTGCTTGTTACAAAATTATTATGACCGAAATATCCGTGAAATAAAATAATTTATTCAAAAAGTGTTAATCATTAACATGATCATAATTTGATACTTTAAAATCTTCTTTAGATGTTTGAATAACAAGTGTTTTTTGTATTTTTTTTAAATGAAAATAAACCATGAGAATTATTGTCTGCATTTAGAAATTATTGCTTGTTTGGCAAAATACATTAACAGCTTTTAATCCAAAGTAAAGATTGCAAAATATTGTAAATGAATGACAAATTCTGTTTTTAAATTAGATTATTTATCGTTTTAAAAATGGAAAATATTTCAAATTGCCCCTCCCTCAAACAAACAAACAAACAAAAAAATTTGATTTAAATCATTCAATTATCTTATGCTTTGAAACGATGGAAATTGTATGGAATTGTTGACTGAAGTCTGGACCACTTTCCAAGCTAACACTAAGGAATCAGATTTATTCAATGAAACATTTAGCAAGATCCAAAAACTAGTGCTGTAAAATATGGAATGGATTGAAAATAATGGTTTGCAATAAAATATTCTCTGAAACTCTTGTAAATCATTAAGGCTATTAAAAGTTGTAAACACATTTTCGCGTAATGATTTGGGAGTGCAAGAAAGAAAGAGGAATTATTTTTACTTCTGTATTTCATACTTTTGAATGAACTAATAAATTTTTGCTGAAAAAGTAAGAAGGATGCTTAAGCATTTAAAAATTGAAAATGAGTAGAAAAATAATGCAACTTATAGCACTTAATATAATTTTAAGTTTACATAGTTAATTAACAAAGGTAATTAATAAATTAATGACCCCTTAAGCAGATAGCCCTAGTGTGCTTTGGTAAATCCAAATCCCATACTGACATATTATGTAACTGACTTTCGTTGTAACAACAAATCAACATCCAAATTACAGACAATATCAGATCAACAAACATGAAAGAAAATAGTTTGCTAATTAACTAAGCAATTTTCATACAGGTAACCTCATACAGTTATTTATCTTCCTTTTCTAAACATGTTTAGATTGTATTTTTTCCTGAAACATTAAACTCTAAAGATTAATAGCTTCTAGAAGAAGCTATTAATGAGTAAAACTCTAAAGATTAATTTATCATAGACTTTTATTAATTAACTATATAAATTAAAAATTCTATTAAAAGCTATAAGTTGCATTAATTTTCAATATTTAAATGCTTAAGTTTCCTTTTTAGTTTTTCAGAAAATGTATTAGTTAATTCAAAAATATGAAATATAGAAGTAAAAATAATCTCTCTTTCCTTCTTGTGCTCTCAAATCATTATACGAAATGCATTTACAATTTTAAAAACCTGAAAAATACACGCGTGTGATGATTTGTAGGAACTTTATTTTTTACCACGATATTTTCAATAAAGATGTAAAGTTTTTTAACTGCATTATTTTCGACCATGATTCGAAATGCATTATTTTCGACCCCTATGTTTTCTCTTAGCTTTATTTTCTCCCACGATGCTTTGCTTTTGCCTTGCGTTGTTTTCTCCACGATGTTTTCGATGGACACTGAATACAATGTGCGATTGGCAAGAAGGAAATTGTTTCTTGAGAAAAATATGCCTTGCATTCATAAAATCCATCCTAAGTAAAGATTTATCACGTTGGAATAATGCTATATTTGCAGAAAATTTAAAATATTTGGGTCCGATGGATGAATTATAACATGGAAAACTGATTAAAGGATTAAATCTGAAAAGCCTGTTGCCAGCTATGTCTCAGTTATTTGACCAATATATAAATTTATATATAAGGATACTTGATTATAATTCTTTACTTATGTCTCATTAATCAACTTTTCCAAAATCCATATATTTGGATGGAATGAGTAGTTAACAAAGAATATCTGTCCTGTCGCAAGATATAAAAGAACTATCAAAAAATGCTAAGATGGGTTCTTAACCTTATTGTTCCACAGAATCTCAGAATATAATTATCAAAATTAAAGGATAATGAGAAAAAAATATGCTCAGTAAGTTAATGTTGCACTCATTGCCCTATGCTGTAATTATTTACATTAATTAAATACAACTGAACACAAAATTGCACTTCCATACATACATTAGACCACAAATATGCAAATTCGTTGGTTGGTGTACCATTCATGGATTTTACAGGAAAATAAAATTACCATTAAAAAATTTTTTTTTCGTGTTCTCATTAAGAAAAATGTTTTGGATGCATACTTGTAACAAAATATTTCAGCAGTGGGAAAAAAACATTTTGTTTTAAAAATACCTAGTTTATATGAAATACCTCGGAGACTTTGGAGGAAATTTGGAGACCTTAATGTCACATTGCATTCCTTTTAATCTCTATGAGCATTGAAATTCATTGCTTAGTCTGAAAATACCATTTGATATATTTAATGAACTATCAAAAATATAATAATTTTTATGGACAAATTGTTGTATTCCCTGTAAAGTAAGACACTTATAAATTTTAAAATCCAGATTTTTGAGCATATATAAGATTTGTAGAGGGCAATTTTTTATTTCAAGCTAGATTAAATAGATTACATTCATAAAATATCTAATCATAAAATTAGTTGTCCTATTCGAAGGTTTCACAGACATTTCAATTAATGAATTTAATTCAGTACTTTTAATATTCAGTATATAAAGTAGTATTTAGATTTTTTCTATAGTAACATGCACATTCCATGTCCATGAATGATTAATTTACATTTAGGAAAATGTTGTGATAATGACATGAAAAATGTATCTTAAAAGGAAAACTAATTTATTTTCTAATAGGTAGTTACATTTAAATGGTGATTTATCTAATAATAATCGTTCTTTACTTAACACTTAGTCTATGCAATAACTTTTAATATTGAAACTTTATCAGCACTTTTGCCCCAAAACACAAAAATATTGAAAAATTTGAGAATCTGATTTATATACATACAATATATATATATGCACACATACATAATATAACCTTTTTCTCGCCAGATTCTTTGCAAATCTTTATTTTAGAAGGGTATTATTTAAAAAATTTTTATGTAAAGCAGTTATTATGTTTTATGTAAAATGGCAACTTAAAAAATAAATCTGCTACATTACTGAAATATGAAATAAGTTACGTTTTTCTTATTAGTCTTTTTGATAGAACAGAAATCATTAAATACTATGCATTTTATTCTCTATTAAAATGAGTAAAAATATTTCAAACTCATTATATCATAAGCGAAAAATCCTTTTGTAAAATTTAAATAATCAAGTATCTTAATAACAGCTGTAAAATTTATGTATTGGTTAAATCAGTAGCTTTCACTGCATGATGATATAAAATGACTATAAATTTTTGAAAACTGGTTTTAAAAATTTTTGTAAATAACGCTTGCATTTAAAAAATAAAATTAATCTATAAATATATTCCAATTTAAAATAAAGATTCCCAACCTTCACTATGTTAGCAGGAGGCAAAAATTCTAGGTAATCCAATTATTTAGATCAATACATTATAGCAAACACTCAAGATCATTCAGCTTAAGGAAGGATATCTTTTTAAAGTATAAGGAAAATTAAATTGTAACTTGTATCTATTTATCTAGGCCAATATTTTTACGTATTTTGCACAACAGAATTGTTTTTAAATATAAAATAAAAAAGTTATTTTAATTAATTTCAAATAGATTATAATTATAGATGTCTTCAAAGATGACTATCTGAATTGTAAAATATATTTTTTCCAGACATTTATTGTTTTCAGAATTTTCAATAATTATCCAGAATCGGAATTTTGTTTTGATAAAGGTTACATTTATTATTTTCATGCTAACAGACCTCTCTTTCTTGTTCTAAATTTAAACAAACAAAAAAAAAAAAAAAAAAATGTACACTTAATTTATTATACAAGTTCATGTATGTTACCTATACAGAGAATTTTAAAACTCAAATAATTAATCACATTAGCAAAATTTTTAAACTAAACCTAAATTGTTTCAATCATGTTTACTGCATCAACATTATATATTCTATTTTGCTTTAATTCTGTTTGACTCAAATACCCTTTTGTAAAATATATTTTTCTTAACAATTAGATTATAAATTTTTGAGATTTTTTTAAGCATTTTAATTAAAAGTTATTTTATTAACATAATCACTAACCAAAGTATTTATTGTATGAAAAATTCTTAAAGGTTTGCAAATCTAAAATACAGTATTTATAACATTATATTGATACTGTTATACAAGTAGCACTATCATCACAATAATATTGATTTAAAAGAATGGTTTCTTTACAAGAATGACTTGTAAAGAAACTAATTTTAAAATAAATTTAGTAAACTTTTTCCCTGAAGGAAGAGAAAAAATAAATCTAAGCTAAAAATGCTAAAATTTCAGTGAAAATTATTAACCTAAAAATACTATACATATTCTTTAATATAATTAAAAAATTAATGATCCATTACAGTACACTGTTGCTGTAATGTGATAAGGAGGTATCATTGTACAAAGGCTGGGAATCTCTTAAAATACATATGATGTATATTTGTAAGTATTTCATCTCTTATTTGCTATTGGCAAGCTCACTAACATGATGAAATCGATGTAAAAGCTGAATTCATGTCGCATTTATTTAGAGTATTTTTTATTATCAAATAATATGAATTCTTTTTTTTTTTTTTTTTAAACTAAATCATTCAATGTTGTAAACTTTGTACTTGATGATGGAAGAAAACTTTAAAGCACTAAATAGAATTATTAATCAGCTTTCTATTTATTCAAGAATGTAAAACATAGGACATGCAAAATAACTTAGAAATAACACCAGTAATTCACACTATCACCCAAAAAAAATTAAGAGTTATACCAGAAGCAAAACTCTATCAAAAATGAATTTAAAAAAAGTTAACCACAATAAATGAAAATCTGCAGAGTAAAAAATAATAAATTATAGATACTAACAAAGGCTAATTTCTAAATTTTTTTTTTTTTTTTCATTATGAGCTTCAAAAACGTAATAATTTAAAACAACTAAGATGTATTTAATAGTTCAATGAAATTTATTCATTGAACTGTGAAATTTCCTTTATCATTTTAATAGTTCAATTTTATGTAAAAAATATAAATGCTGATTTATTCGACATATGGAATATCCCATAATCAAGGTACAAAATTTGAGATATAATAGGTGAGTTCACTGTGATAAAAAATAGTTTACAGTTTCTTAATACCTCACAACAAAGACACCAAAACTAACAATTTCATGATATTTCATGATCCACTTGGAAAATAATTTACTTTCTTGTAGAAACAAAGTATAGCATTACCTTAAAGATTGCACCAACAGGCATTTTAAAATAATTATTATTTTTAAAGAACAAAATTTCCAATAGTAGTAAATAAATAAAAATTCAGAGCTAATTTACATACTACAAAGTGACTGACTTGAATGTTCCTGTAAGTTAGTGTACATATTCTCAATTAAAGCTCCTTTTCTTTTCTTCCCTCCTTTTTTTCAAACATGCCTTAAAATAAGGATTTACAATGTAACACTGCTTAGTTATGGTTATGTTGCTAGCCTTAGATTTCTAATGCATATTTCATTAGAAATCACATTACATGAATTTGTCACAGTGATGTCACTTTTTACTCTCAAGTACAGTAACTTTAATAATGAAAAACTGAATTATCTCATTATATCTCTATAAAAATGTAACTTTAAATACAAAAAGGAATGTGTTAGTAATTGTCTTAGAAAATAACAAAATTCAACATATTTTGTAATGAAAAATCAACCTATATTTGCACATATAATATTATTTTATTTCAGAATGTACACAAATAATTGAAATATAGATCCTAAAATCTCTTAATATATAAACCTAAAAACTGTTCCTAAAAAAATAGATCCTAAAAACTTTTTTTAAAAAAACTTAAAAACACATTTTATTTCATTTTTGATAATCTGCGACATACTAGTACACACAAATGTAATTTTGAATACATTCGTGTATTAAAATTATACTAGTATTAAGCTAATTCTCCAAGCAATATAATTTGAAAATCTTTTCCTTACATATACTTTCAAAGAAAGACTTTATTGGGAAAGGAAAAGATTTATCATTTTTGTCATCATAAAGCAAATCAGAATAAATATCAGTTATTACTTCATAAGATTCCTTTATTTTCCTGTCCGTAACACTACCTCAGATTTGTAAATCAGATAATTTTTTACTAACTGCAATCAAAAATATCAGGTAATACTCAGATATATCTCTGTTCAGAAATATTATAAACAAAAGTTTGGTGAAGCCTTTTTTCAAAACAGGAGGGCAAAAAAACTAGGAATCTCTGCATTAAAAATACAGTCTACAAAACTAGGCTGGGTTATAAGGGCTTTCAAACTTTTTATACTAATATGCACATTACGAGACATCAGGATAGTTTCAAATATAAAAATAACATAACCAAATTTGCATAATGATAATTTGAATGGAAAAAGGGATCTGGCATATCTTATTCCAGAATATATTTAATATTTATGATTTGCATTAACCAAGCTGAAAATCCAAGGACAAGCATTAATTTAAAAAAAAAAAAAAAAAATCTTACATTTAATTTACAATTATAAACCCAATTTTTATTTACATATGCATATAATATATATATTTATTTATTATTTCAGTCTCATAAAACAGTTGTAATAAAGCATTTAAAACATGTAAATATTTAGAACATGATTATATAGTGGTTTTCATGCAACTTTCACTATATATGTATATATGCTTGTGTGCGATATATATTTATACTGTAGAATTACTCCTAGTTGAAAAAATTAAATCCTTTAAATATCAGTCTACCATGCTTACTTTTCATCACACTACATGAGGCATTTCCAGTATGAGATAAATACATAAATGTTTCAAGGCAATGCAACAAATGTGCCAAATTTTACATTTCAGGCATACTACACATTTAGGTTCTAACATGTACTTTGTATGAGTCTAACATTTACAACACAGTTGCACACATGTTAAATCTAGAATGAGAAAAGTTTAACCCTCAGAAACTCCACAATATTTAATAAAAATGATTTTTTTAATGACTCATTATAAAATCAATTTCAATCACTGAATGACATTATTTGAGTAAAATATACAGAAATAAGATTACGTATGATCTTAAAAAAATAAGTATCATTTTCCAAAATAGTACCGATTTAAAGAATATGCAATATATTTAGTTAAAACTAAGCTACTTTTCATCAAATGCATAATTGGTATTTCAATAAAACAACAATTCACTGATTGCTGATGTATATTCTCCTATGAGAATTTGATTTAGTAATTTTCACAAATATTTTCATAGTTATGATTAAAATCTGGAAACAAACAAAATATCTACCCTCTCAAACACTATCAAATATTTTGGGCATATCTGAAGAGCAAAATACAAAACTTTACATCAGAAAATATTGCATAATTTACTTCACAAATATAATACAGCACTCTTAATACTCAAAGATTACATATATATATAAAATATATATTTTCCTTGAGGCCTAAAAATGCTGTTTACCTCTGAGGAATATGTAAGCTTTTTTCATTTCAGATTTAAAATTCGTTTAATAGTTCTAAATTTCACACATATATAGAAGTATCAATATACACACAATTGCTACTATTATAAAGTTTTTTTATTGGTTTTCTTAACACAGTTCTTAAACAAAACTGCAGAAAATTCAAATTTTGGATGATTAATTTCATTTACACTTTTTATATGAAATATCTGCAATTAGGTATGTATCTAAGACTGAGGAGATGAAAAAAATTATTTAATAACATAATTTTCTCAGTAAGATATGCATTCCAGTAACTGATAAAAATCCAGCTTCTTGTACTTTTTTTATGTACATAAAAACCACATAATTTTAATATGTAAAATATACATAATAGATGCCACTTAGTCATTCTATGTATTAGCAACATAACCCTATAACATAATTGAGCATAATAAAGTCTTTTGTATAAATACTTACTACATAAATTTGTACACTGATATTTCTAAAATCACCAACATGATATATATCCTTTGTAAACTTTTTGAGTTCAACATGAAAATTATGAACAACATTAAAATAAATTTTTAATGCAAATTAACAAAGCATAAAATGTTAAAAAATAGAACTTACGGAAAAAAATTAACATTTTGCTAGCAAATTAAATGCAAATATAGCAGCTACTGTGCACTAATGTATTCTGCTGTAATTTTTTTTTTAATTTAAAAAATATGCAAAGCCATTTCAGAGCCTATTTGCTATCAATTTTAATTACCAATATAGAGTAAACTACAAAAATCAACTTATTTTTTTTCAATTAATTCATTTTTAACAGGTAAATATTTTTTTTCTTTACATAATTCCTAGCAAGTTTATTAAAAAGCTTAACAGATGAAAGATAAATGAGTTTTTAAGTTAACATCATACAATACCTACTTTCCATTTTGTTTGATTAATACCACCAACTCACAGATAAAAATTACCTAAACTGCAATTAAAAATGTATTTCTTTCTGAAAATATGACAATTTTGTTTTAGATAAATTATTTATCAATGAAATATTATGCATTCATATAGGAGTTTTTCAAACTATAAATACTTTGACAAACTGCATTTTAAAGGAATGCTACTCGAAAAACTAGCTTGATTTCAAATTTTATCTATTATACTTAGTGGTGAGTATGATTAAAAGCCTTTCATTTTTCACAAGCGTTTTTTTAAGAGGGAAGGGTATACAATAAATCTCTTCAGTCACATCAGACTACAGTTGCAATCAAAAATGCTGATAGAAAAGTTTTTCTAAAGTAATTCTGAAGCTAATGAATTTTATTACAAAGCAAACAGAATCTGAAGAACTGCTTAAAACGAATTCATCAATTCAGTTACTCATCAATGGCTGATGTGCACCAATGGCACAGCTGCCTACCAGAGATAAGTAGATGACTATATGCAAATGGATTTATTACGACATTTAAATGGGATTTTTGTAAATTAATTTTTAACAAAGTGCTTGTTTAATATGTGATTAATTTATGAAATATCTCAATAGTATAGTAATGTCCTGTTTATATGTAAAAACACATACTGACTCTGATTTAGCTTAGCATAACACAAACTTGCTAGCATATTAAGCAACATCAAAGATACCTAATACACACATAATAATGCATACTGTTCAATCCTAAGGAAATACTTTCACTTCATAATAGGAGTAAAAACAATGAATAAAAAATTCAAATGAGATGGGAAAAAAACTCTAGCAGGGTTATATATTCCACAAGTAAAAGGTATAACAAAGGCACAAAATTTGTTTCTTGTGATTGTTATACACACAAACCCATCAACAATACCTCTATTTATACACTACATTTTATTATTTTGATTGTATTTCGAAAGTAATTGATATGTTCCTACATACTGAAATAAAGCTTTTTTTAATCTTATAATAATTTTTTAAAAAAAATCAGAAAAAAATGACTAGAAATATTTAAAAGAAAATAATTGTTTACAGCTTGTATTAATCAAAATGAATAAAATAAGTTCAATCATATAAACTCCTATACTTTTCATATCACAGCAAATAAAAATAAAATATGACTAGATTTTAAAAACAATATTGTATCACAAAATGCAATTTTCCTCTAAATAATACATTAAGAATGGGATATATTTTCAATCTTTAAAAGAATTTTATAATTATTATTTTTATATGTCCTATATAAGAATGGAATATATTTTAAATCTGAAAGAATTTTATATTTATTATTTTTATCTGTCCTATCCAGAAGTCTACTCAGATTTTATGAACTGTGCGATTAAAGATAGTCTTTCATATATATTAGGTAGATCAAAATATTTAACAATTTCTAAAAATTACTGCACAGTATATTGGAAAGTACAGAAAATAGAATAGCAAAGAATAAATCCTTTTTTTCCCCTTTTTTCAAAAATACTACACAGTAAGACTGATTCAGCATATAGACTAAGTAAATAAAAGGCTTTAAATACATCACTACAATGACTAGGTAAAAAATATTTTTATCAATAAATAAAACATCTTCTTAGAGAGCAGCGTAAAGGAATGTTGGACCATATTACAAAATTTAATAATTCAATAGTTCCTTTTCAAATGGGAACGTTCTTCCTACATGGAGAAATAGCATTCATACTCCTAACTTTGCGATGTATGGAATCTGACGAGCACTAACAAAACTGCTGCTTTAAACTAAGCTTATATCTGAAGAACAGTTGTGAAATAAAAGCAAATAGGCTTGGCAGAATTCAGTTTTTAAAAAAAGAAAGGCGAAAAAAGGGGGGAAGAGTTAAATTAGTGGCAGTTTACTTGGAAGTAAGCAGAAACAACAAGCTTGCAGCTAAGAATCCTACTTCTGTATGCAAGTAAATAATAATCAGCTTGTAATACAAGTAGATTTGCAAGATAGATAATATATTGAATGGCAAAAAAAAAAAAAAAATCTATCATAGAGTAAAATACAAAATAAAATATTAAAATCCTTAAATAAGTATAAATAATTATCTCAAAAGTGATATGTTGAAACAATACTGATATATATTGAAAATTATACATACAGCAGCTATACATATATACTATCATCAGATATATTAAAAAATTTACAGAAATCTCATTCAATGACCATGGCACTTAAATACATAGAAATTTTTTTTAACTTATTGTAGAATGTTTATATATACACCTTTTTATGTTGTAATAATTTAAGGCTTCGACCGATTAGCAAAAACCTAAAAAATTCCTTTTAGAGCATTTTTTTAAAATTTACAATTACGGTTTTAACTATGAAAGTACTATATGAATTTACACTTTTTTCATGACATTTATATGTTCCAGACAGTTCTGCAATTAATATTTACAATTTATAAAGTCCTTTGTAGATCTAGTATTTATTTTTATAATTTAAGTACATCAAATTGATATAACCAGTTCTTTTTAATCACAGTAATTCTTAATACCATTAATGCTTACTGTACACAAAAATCCTTAATTATTCATAATAATAATCTCTATGTATGAAAGCACATGTAAATACATTACACATACAACAATAAAAAAATAAAATACTAATTTTTAAGTAACTCTATTCATGAATTATAAAGAAGAATGTAATCATCTTGAGAATATTGGGAGGGGATTAAAATATTTTATATTATTGTTGTTGATTTAAAAACTAATTATGTTATAATTAATACTAAATCTAAATAAAATACTAAAACTGTATTTAAAAATTCAAATCATAGTTTAAAAATTTAAATTTTTAATCCATACAAACTTTACCACATCCAATTCATAGGTTTTATTTAAATACTTAATAGAAACTGCATGACACATATTTCCTTATTCAAGAAACCTAATATGTCAATATCTATACTTAAGTAACACCTGCAATCCAAATTAGCTGAGTAACTTCAATTTTATACAGTACAGTGTAAGTATTCAAATATTCATCGCCATCAATATGGAATGAACACATTTTTGGGTTATATATATATATATATATATAAATTAAAAAAAACTTAAAAGAATGCTACCAAGCCTCTTATCAAACACTTTTTTTTAAAAAAAGGAACACCATATGGTAATGAAAAAATACGTCTTGATCAAAATTTAACACTGGCATCCTGCATTTGGTGGTGCAGGATTTTCCGTGAGACGAGTGCCCTTGGAAGCATTAACAAGATTAGGATCAGAATCAAGGCTTTCTGACATCTTATCACAAATGATGTCTACCAGACGCTCAAATACAGCTTTGACGTTAATGTTCTCTTTAGCTGAAGTTTCAAAAAATTCCAGACCCAGTTGTTCAGAGAGTTGACGGCCTCGCTCAGCAGATACAACTCGTTCATCTTCCATATCGCACTTATTACCAACTAGAACAACTTGAGCATTGTCCCAGGAATAAGTTTTGATTTGTGTAACCCTAAAGAAACATAATTAGCATAAGTTTTAATCTGTGCAGCTCTAAATAAAGATAATTAGTATGCAAAAAAAAAAAAAAATTAGACATATCTATGCACATAAATAAAAGAAACAACTGCATACTCCAAACAAAACTAAAGTACATAAAACTTCTGTAGAATTCAAACACAGTTCACTAAAAATGTAACTAACACATTAGACAGTCAAAAGTCGTTAATCCGGACTTGTCGGGACTTCGGCGATTCCGGATTATTGATATTTCCGGATTATAGATCATCAGTTTAAATCTCGTAAGATGGCATGCAGAAATTATAAAATTAAAATATGAAACCATAATTTATGAAATAAAGAACAATTATGATTTAAAGGGTATCAAAATTTACAAAAAAAAAAGCTTAATATTTATTTGTTTACTTTATTAAACATTTCTTTCAATGTAAGTTGTTTAGTTTTTTTATGTGATAATACATTCTCTTTAATTCTATAAACAGACATAATTTCTTGTTCAGTTACAAAGTTCCTCTGTTCAAGTCCTATAATTGCTGTGTCTACCAACTAATTTGTCAATCGAAATTTTTTCATTTTCAATAACCTCTGTGTCACTTTTTCACTATCGGAAGCGAATTATAATGACAAGAAACTTGATTTAAATCATATCAAATACGTAATACATAGAGATGAAATACTACATTTAGTAAGAAATTATAAGCCAAATAAAATGAAAACATCTGCCCTGAAGATAAGGATAGTGCTGACAGATCAACTTCCAATTCACTGCACGCCAAGACGTCCCCCCCCCTCGCCGCAGAGCAGCGTGAAATTGATAAACAGATTTCGGAATGGTTAGGTCATTTTTTGCAGCAATTTCACTTTTGTTTAATGGGCTTCGAAACATACTTTCGCTTTTTAGACTCTTTACATATTAGTAAATATATATCGGAAATTCTATTTGACATAATCGAAAGTTCAAGCTTACTTTTATAAAATTGCTCTAACAGTCTGCAAAAAATAATAAGGCGGATCCAATTCGAAGATTAAGGAACAACGCAATCTGCAACATTAACTGAATTAGATAATTTTAGCTTAGCTTATACCGTCCGTTATATATTAAATGCTCATACGTAAACATATTTTGCGCATGCGCACACGCATATTCGCAGCCGTAAAGGTCTTACACGTCAACGCGACGCATACGCAGAAAGTTTGTAGCTTTGTGGTCTGGATTATAGATCATTCCGGATTATGGGTGTCCGAATTAACGACTTTTGACTGCATAATAAAATATGATATTAAAAACAGACAAATGCATGTCATTTCTACATGATACTGAATCTATATACAGTGTCCACAAAAGTCCTTACCTCGCCTTTAATTTCAGATCTCTAGGCCATCTATATTTACTTCTAGTTACACAAATGTTTTATATGATACAAAGATTCATGTTTTCACATTTTAAAATTTATAATAACTTCATTTGGCATAAAATGAGATACAGTCCATGATCCAAAATGATCCATAATCGGGACCTCAAAGCCACAAACTTTTTTTTTTTTTGTATGCTTTACGCATGCGCGTAAAGAATGCGCATACATTATGCACCCTATACTTCCACAGTCATAACACCTTGGTTCTTTACTCTTATTAGGTATAGAGCGTGCTTTATTGTGTGTGTTAGTACTTGAATAACCCTTATTCTTCGTATAAGGGTGGATTTTCGAACGTGGATTTTTAATTTAGAAATAGTTTTACACCTATACAAAATAATTTTGTAACTACTCTGATCCAGTATCCCATTAATTACATAATTAAGAATTGATGAATCATCAACAGAACCGCAACTGGCTATTTAATGCATGGCAATTAAACATTCGGAAAGGGATTCACCGGGTTTTAAGTGTCATTTAAGTTCACATATAGTCTAAATGAATTGGTTTATTTTTCAACTTAGCACGATATTACTTGGGTAATCAGAACAGCTTGGCCTAATGATTTGTTTCTCTAACTATTCGGAAATCTGTTTATCAATTTCATGCTGCTCTGCGAGAGGGGCGGAAATGCGCAGCGCGCAATGAACTGGAAGTTGATCTGTCAGCACTATCCTCATCTACAGGGCAGATGTTTTTATTTTATTTGGCTTATAATTCCTTACTAAATGTAGTGTTTCATCTCAATGTACTCCATCTTTGATATGATTTAAATCAATTTCCTCATCATTATAAATATCATGAATACACATCAAATAGTTTTCTGGTTGCAATTTTCTAATTTTGACTATGCATAATGTATGCTTTATGCATGCGTGCGTTGAAAGAAATGTAGTACACAAATAAATATTACGCTTTTTTTTTTTTTTTTTTTTTTTTGTAAAATTTTATATTCTTTAGATCATAATTGCTCTTTATTTCATGAATTATGGGTTCATATTTTTAATTGTATAATTTCTGCATGCCATCTTACCAGATTTAAATTGATGATCTATAATTCGGAAAACCCCCTAATCCAGAAACGTCGAAGTCCCGACGAGTCCAGATTACGGACTTTGTACTGTATCTAACTTTTCACATGTTGCTCCAGTCTCTGTACTTATATTTAGGACAATTTTCTACTCATTATAAAAAATAAAAAACCAAAAGTTTAAGTACAATAAAAATTGATGTACATATTTAATTTCAAAATTTACAATACTTGATGTCATTTTGAATTTGCACCAAGAGATTGGTTAGTAAATAAATTAGAATAACTCAAGGTTGAACCATTGAAGGATATTCTTTTGTGATTACTAATGTCTTTATTTGTAATTTTATTTTATTTGGTATGTCCGATGAATGTTCACACAAATAGTTCATAAGTTTCCAAAGTCTTAAAATACATTATTAATATTCTTTAATAATGTATTTTAAGACTAATATATAAGAGAATAAAAGCGCATTGCATCAGTATTTCAAACATAACTCACACAGCAACTGATTGAAATGGACGTGTTAAAGGCACTTGTTCGAGTTGTTTGCTGTACGATTTTAAAGTGGGCCTGTTAGCAGCAGAATCAAGTTGGTGAATTTGCCAGGCCTTTGGGGATGATGCCATTAATGAACACGAACCATTAGGCAATGGTTCCAGAAGTTTAGGTCAGGTCATTAGTCTCTTAGTGACGCACTGTGCAGTAATCTTGGCTGGACGATGAGGCCCTGAGAACAGCCATAGAGAGTGACAGTAGACAAACATGTGGTGAGCTTGCTGCACACTTCCAGGTATCTGATGAAACGATCAGACTCCATTTGCACTGCACAGGAAAGGCATACAAGCTGAGGAAGTGTGTACCGCACACACTATCTGATGCAAACAAGCAATAGAATGTCGCTGCTTATTTGTCATCACTTACTCAGTACCACAACGCATCCATATTTGATAGAGTACTCACCAGCGATGAAAAGCGAGTCCAGTATGACACACTCAGGCGTTCCAGACATTGGTTGTTACCAGAGGACCCTGTGCTCTGGTAACAACCAATCTGGACACTGCGAGACCTTCTCTCCACCTACACACGATCACGCTCTGTATCTGATGGACTAGTCGCCAAGTGGTGAACTATGAGCTCTGCCAATGAGCCAAACTCTCACGGCAGGCCAGTACTGATGCACTGATGCATAAAGAGCCAGCATTAGTCATCTACAGGGCAATTGTAAGGCAGTAGTTCTCCTCCATGACAATGCGAGGCTGCATGTGGCTTGAGAGGCTAGGGACACCATCCAGCAACAGGGCTGGGAGACACTACCCCATCCACCATACTCCTCAGACCTCGCAACCAACAGACTACCACCTTTTCCATTCCCTGGACAACCATGTTCGTGGGAAATTCTTCAACAACTGGCCAGACCTCGAAAAGGCCCTTAAGGAGTCCTTTGTGCCCAAGACTCCTGAGTTTTACCGCGATGGCATCGCATAGCTAGGCAAAAGGCACTGGATGCCGATGGTGATTACTTTGAGGATTAGTGGTGATTATTATTTGTTTTATGACTTTTTCTTCCTGACTGTCCAAAACTTTTTTGATTACCTTGTAGATTATTGCATTAGTTCATATTCTTGTAACAGACTGCATATAGTTCATGTTTATCTAGAACAGATTTAAAAGTGAGACAAAAAAAAGTAATAAAATTTTATGCTTATCTGAATAAAATATCTGAACACAGATAAACCTGAAATAGTGCAAAGAGCATCAGAACTGAAGCAAAAATTATACATGAAATTATGCAAGTTCTACAGGTGGGTATATGTTTGTCTAAATATGATGTCTAGTTGTCTTTCTTATAAGAAAATCTTGCTGATTCTACTAGTTTTGTCTTTTATTTTGTTTATTTATTTACTTATTTTTTAAACCCTAACTTTTGCTATCACTTTCCTAGTCTATTAACATGTGGATGCATCTCAGTTATTGCAGCAGTTTGTAATATGCATTACTAAATTTTTATCTGCAGCTTCATGGCTTACATTATATTCTTATTAGATGTACAGTCAAAAGTCGTTAATTCGGACACCCATAATCCGGAATGATCTATAATCCAGACCTCAAAGCTACAAACTTTCTGCGCATGCGTCGCGTTGACGGCTGCGAATACGCGGGTGCGCATAATACGTTTGCGCATGCGCGTTTAATGTGTAACGGACGGTATAAGCTAAGCTAAAATTATCTAATCAGTTAATGTTGCAGATTGCGTTGTTCCTTAATCTTCGAATTGGATCCGCCTTATTATTTTCTGCAGACAGTTAGAGCAATTTTATAAAAGTAAGCTTGAACTTTCGATTATGTCAAATAGAATTTCCGATATATATTTACTAATATGTAAAGGATCTATAAAGCGAAAGTATGTTTCAAAATCCGAAATCTGTTTATCAATTTGATGCTGCTCTGCGGCGGGGAGAAATGCCGCTGCATGCAATGAATTGGAAGTTGATATGTCAGCACTATCCTTATCTTCAGAGCAGATGTTTTTATTTTATTTGGCTTATAATTCCTTACTAAATGTAGTATTTCATTTCGATGTACTCCGTCTTTGATATGATTTAAATCAAGTTTCTCGTCATTATAATTCGCTTCCGATAGTGAAGAAAGTGACACAGAGGTTATTGAAAACAAAAAAATTTCAATTGACAAATTAGTCAGTATTCTCAACACAGCAATTATAGGGCTTGAACAGCGGAACTTTGTAACTCAACAAGAAATTATGTCTGTTTAATAGAATTAAAGAGAAAGTATTATCACATGAAATGAAGCAACTTAAACAACTTACATTGAAAGAAATGTTTAAGTAAACAAATAAATATTAAGCTTTTTCGTTTTGTAAATTTGATACCCTTTAGATCATAATTGCTGTTTATTTCATAATTTACGGTTCCATACTTTTAATTTTCTAATTTCTGCATGCCATATTACCATATTTAAACTGACGATCTATAATCCGGAATAGCCGAAGTCCCAACGAGTCCGGATTAACAACTTTTGACTCTATTTGTAAACATCGCCAGTTTTTCATGAACTTGTATGAAGAATTTTCTCATAATTATCAAGTATAAAAGAATTACATATTGATATGGTAATAAAACGTATAAGAATGTATAAAAATTACATGTTGATCTCAAATGTATATAATAAAGGACAAGTCAAAATAAAAAGTTAATAAATTACCAGTCTTGCACACTATTAAAGGATTCCTCATTTGTAACATCGTACATCAAAATGAATCCCATGGCACCACGATAGTATGCTGTGGTAATTGTTCTATACCGTTCTTGCCCAGCAGTGTCCTTAAAAATGAAATAAATCCATTGGGTAATTTACATATGTTTAGACAATAACATAAAAGAAACGAAGCAATAATAACATTTTTATGCATGAGTATACAAATATAATATACGATTGAATCAATAGTCCAGTAAAACTAAACTTTTTTAAAGACTTTTTAAAGAGAGACTTTTTTAAATTAAAATCCCATTTTTATTTACTTATTTTTATCACTATATATTTATCACTATATAAGATAACTATACGATATATTTCCATGGTAACAATAATAAAAATAAATAGCTGTAAAATTAGTATCAGGCTATTAAAAATATCATACTTTTGGTTATAACATTGTACTTTGAATGTTGACTATTTCCTTTAATAACTCTTTTGAACAAATAATTTGATACACAATATATTCAATCTTAACTGGTCCTCATTTTAACCAGCATCCTATTTAAACCAATCATATTTTTCAGCAAATTATTTTTGTTGACAATTTTAAGGTATAGAATGGTGAATAGTCTAAAAAGACAACATTACAGTGAACCCTCCTTGTGATGAACATTCATTATTAAAAATAACATTTTATCTTGTGCATCTATATAAGGTATTTGTATCAGAAAGAAGGTATTAACATAAATGTTTATTTACACTTTCTGAAATAATAATGGTTTTCAGATGTGACTGGCATGAGATAGTTCATTGTACTTTATTCAGAAAGTGAAATAAACAGTTTTTAATCTTTATTTTCAGTTAATACTTTCTGACAGTTACCTAAGTTTTTTTTTCCCTTAATATATTTCACATATTTTTTCCCTTAATATTTGCTGGGTTAATCTTTGGATTATGGTAACTTGGCGATTTTTTGGCGAAAATTCGGCGACCAACCCTGCTACAGCAACCTGCTAGTTTTTGTTTGGACGTCAATTTGTTTTCATGAAGTAAAGGCTTTTTTTTTTTTTTACTCAACATTTTTTCCAACAATCTGCTAGCCGAATTACGCTTATCCTAGAACTTTTATGGAACAAAAGCTTAATCCTGACGAAGATTGGGAGCGAAATTAGGAGAAAGTGCAGAATCGCCCACTGCTTGCCGCGTCTGAATTAATGACTTTTGACTGTATATGTATTGAAATAGTGTAGTTTTTAAAACTAGATATTTCTAATGGACTATCTTTAGCATTTATATAATTTGAATATTTAAAAGCTACGGTAGAAGCTAGTCCTTTCAAACACCCATTGCTGGCGGATTAGGTTAAACACTCTATTTTACATATAGCTTTACATGTATTTAAAAATTTTGATTGCAAGGCTTTATTTTCCTATTCTTTTTCCTGCAGTATTAAATTCCAAAACAACAAATATTATTTTACACTGATTTCTTAATGAAGCCATCACATTCAACTTACTGTAATGATTTATCACTTGATACACTGTAAGGATTATGTTAATTTTTCTAACAGTTAAATTTTAAGTTCCTTTCCTATCGCTTCTTAATTTCAACTTACAATTTCCAGCCAGAACGTATTTTTAGAATCACATCACGTTTGAATGCAAATTTGAGGAGTAGTATTTAACCCCTTAGTTAGAGAGAACCAGTGATTCTGGCTAGCATGCGTCTGCCTTTTTAGGCTACTCTCTCTTAAACTATTATTACGCTTGGCTGTACTTTAAGGCCCTTGATAACTTTGCAGTTAATTAGCGTTATGGGGCCAAATCTGTTAGAAGGTCTAGTAGCTACGGCTATATCTTTTAAGATGAGTTTAGTTTAATTCTTAGTCTCTTAAGTTCAAGCCCGAGTGTCGGCTTTATTGTACAACTCCAAGATGGAGTTCTGTTACACCTTACTGGAATAATAAAGGGTTATTTCACCTTTTTACTTGTTGTTTTCTATATCACAATATTTCCATTCACCTATGTATCTGCAGATACATTGGCACTCTTGATCACTACTTCTTTAGCTGCGAAATCACAAAGGATCTCCACTTCAAGCCATTTACCACAACACACAACATCAGCACAACTATAGTTCAGACAAACACTAAAAAGCAACTTCCTTTGCAATAAACTTCAAATTATCATAAACTATTCATCCATCAACTGGGAAAATTTAAAAGTTCCATAAAAATGATTGAACACAGAGATTCTGATCTAATTAGCAGTATTGTTAAACTATGGACTTCTAACTATAGACTTCTACAAGATATGGATTTCTACATATGGACATTCTTTCACTCAAGACATGGACTTCTACATATAATTACATGGACTACTACATATACTTTATACTTTTTATTTTATAACTTTATTAATTTTACTACATACAAACATTATATGTATGGATATTCTACATATGAACTTTCTACAAGATATGGACTTGTACATATGGTCTTTAACATATATTTTTATGTTGATTTTTGATAGATTTTACATTTTTTTATTTTTGATAGATTTTATATTTTATTTGAAAAGTTATCTAAGTTGAAAGTTATATTATGTATTCGACATTTTTAATTACTTATGTTTTGTACATTAACCAACTGTAACGTAATATGTACACTAAATTGTTTTAATAAATGCCGTTGAGCTGCAGATGGTGGATAGTACCCATCAATAGAGCAGGTAAACGGAAAGTCTAAATGATGGTGCAGTTGCTCTATTGATGGTCTTCTATATCATGAACTCAAGTGATTACTCGCTTACCTGTTCTACGATTCTTCAAATTCAACTGTAACTTAAAAGTACACAGTACACAATCTTACAACCTTATATAAGTTTCAATTCTGTATAAAGTAATAAGTTGAAAATTACATAAAACATGTGATAATGATAAGCATAATAAATAAAGTTTTTGATTATTTGGGTATTAGTTTGGTTTATTTAATTATGACAATGCACTCAAGACTATCTACCCAGTCGAGGGATGCCTCTGCAGACGACTTTCTAAGGGAAACAGGTTCATGCACACATTACACATTTGGAAAACCACAAAATTGCATGCCCATGCAGCCAGCCTGTTCACCAAGATTCAAACCTCAGACTGAATTACCAGTGTTCAGCGACTTTACCATTTGGCCCTGCTGGTGGACGATTATTTGGGTTACTGACTAAAGAAAAGCACGCAAATTGCACAATGGCTCAAGAATATAGTATCCTTTTTATTGAAAAGGATTTATTGAAAAGGAAATTTTTAAATTTACAGAAAATTTGTGGGACATAAAACATTATCACTTCCAATTTATTTGGCTCCTACTTTGGTAGATTTATATGGAATAAAAATAAGACTGATATCCTTCATTCTGCATTTCACACATGGTGCAGAAACACAAGTATGTTTCTGAATGTTGTTTATTTTAAATAACCTGCTCACAAAATTGCATTAAATAAAATAAAAAATAGGTTTGGTTTATTTCATTATGGCAAAGCCCTGAAGGTTATCTGCCTAAATGGGGGATGCCTTCGTGGAGGACTTCCTACAGGAAACTGGCTGTTGGACACATCACACATGGGAAAAACCAAATAAATGCCCAAGCAACCAGCTCAGCTCATTCACCAGGATTTGAATCCCAGACCAAACTACTGTATTCAGTGACTAAACCATTCGTCTGCTAGTAGGCCAATAAAAATAGGAATTTATATTCAGCTATTCCTGTATATTATACAAATTATGTACAGCAGACACTGAATAAACTGCTTGTGTGTATTATTAAACAAGCATTTCTCACCAAAGGTAAAACGCACAAATTCCAGTTTCTCGCTACTGCCCTTATAACACACAAGTACCAATCAAGTTTTTAGTTCAAAAAACAATTTGAGTTTCTGTATGAGTTTTAAATTATTGTTGTGAAATGCCCAGCTGCGGTAAGATAGCTTCCAAGCAAAGTGGGGTTAGGGTTGCCAGAAAGTGGCAGAGTTGCCAGATTTGGTGCAAAACAATCTATTTGTGCCATAGATGGAGTGAGAACATTCTAGAATGCATTCTTAGCGGGTTTCCTTGAAAATGTTCTCAAGGGTAAGTTAAAGCTATATATACACTGCCCATACATAGAGAGGAGAGTATATCGAGTTTAAAGATTAGCTTGAGATTGACTGAACCAAGTCTTGAGCTCTATTTCAGTGCTTTACCATGAAGCTAGCTGTAGCCTAAAGGCTGTGTTGCTGATTATCTCAACGTGGTTATTGTAGTTTTTCGAGGACTGTAAACGTGTCTTTGGAGCTCTACTGTGTAATATTGGTAAATAAATTATCTTTTGATTCATCAAGTGTTATTGTTAATTACTCCAAATACATGAACCCGCAGCACACAACAACTGGTGTCAAGAGTGGGGTTTGTGAGTGAATGCCAGTGACCCGCCTACAGGAAAAAGCCATGGTGGAGGAAATAAAGGCTTTGTTGGACTTGTTATCAGCTGTAAAAGCCTGACAATAAGAGATGAAAGCTAGACAAAAAGATATGCAAGCCATACAAGAAAAGATGAAAGCCAGACAGGAGGAGATGAGGGGTGAGATTGAAAACAAAGTAAAATCGGGTCAGGAAGAAATAAAAGACGGACGGAAAAAGCTGCAAAAGCAACTCCAACAGATGGAAGTGGAGCAAAACAAGATTAGAGGCGACATCCTGGAGCTTAGAACCCGAATAGATGTGGATATGACAGTAGCGGCACCTGAAAAATCAAGCTGATGAAGTGTCTGAGAAAGATCAAGAAATGAAGGATGAAACATCTAGCGAGACTGAAGAAAAGAGAATGAAAAGATGAAGAAATAAAAGACAGAAAAGAAGCTTTTGATTCTCAATGCCTAAAGCTGAAATGGAAGAAAGTGATAATACTGTTTGTAAAGATGAAGAAATAAAAAAGTGGCTAGTAAAGCATTTGAAAAAGGTGAAATAATTCATGAAAATAAAGTTCTTGATTCTTAAGTGCCTGAAGTTGAGATAGAAGAAAGAGAAAATGCAACTGTTAAGTTGGTAGAAACTGACAGTGAAGTTACGAAATCCAGGCAGCAAGTACTGAACCATTTAAAAATTCATATGATACAGAGATGGGGAAGCACTCAGCTTAAGTAGAGTGTCCCAGTATTGCAACAAAATACATCCACTTAAGAAACTAAGTGTGTCTGTGTCTCACAATACAAGTTTCACAGACAAAAATCTGATTCTAAATCATTATACTTCTGTTTGCAGAGAACTGGATTCTATTCTTAACTCTAATGCAAAAATCGGATCTGGTTCCCAGGAAATAGAGAAAAATATGCATGTATCAACTGCTAAAAATACCAAGGTGAAGTGTACACATGACGTAAATAAATGACAGAGTGGTGGAGCAAATTGTTTCAGACCTTGCTGTCGATGAAAAATTCGAAAGGACTGAATCTTATATTAAACAAGCATTTCTCGCCAAAGCTAAAATGCACAAATTCCAGTTTCTCGCTAATGCCCTTATAACACACAAGTACCAATCAAGTTTTTAGTTCAAAAAACAATTTGTGTTTCTGTATGAGTTTTAAATTATTGTTGTGAAATGCCCAGCTGCGGTAAGATAGCTTCCAAGCAAAGTGGTGTTAGGGTTGTTTACATCAGACTGAAATATGCAAAATAGAAATGCATCTGAGAATTGCAGTTAAAAAGTAATTAACCAGGGTCTAACTTAATGAAAAGCCTAAAACTGAAATTAATTCTGAACTTTATATAATTTAAAATTGTTATGTGGTTAACTTGTGTATATAATTTGTAAATAGTGCAAAAGTTTGTTTCTTTTATCCTTATTTACCTATTTTTTCGTGAATTTGGCTTCTGACCAAGGACCGTATTGCCCCAGATGTGCAGTCCTTGGGAGGAGGTAGTATTGCGAAGTGCCCAGATGCAATAAGATAGCTTATCCTTGGTGGCATAATTAGCAATATGCCATAGACAGAATGAAAACATTATAGAAGAATGAAAATATTCCTTGGGAATATTTTCAAAGGTAGGGTAAAAGCTACATATACCCTGCTTGTACAAGTACAGCAGTAATATCTTGAATTTAGTGGTGTAGTAGTGACTTGAGTTCGGAGATTAGCTTGGCAGCGATCGACTGAGTTGGGAGCTGTACTTAGTGCTTCGCCATGAAGCTGTCCTCACCATTATAACCTGAAGGCTATTTTGCTGTTTATTTCAGTGTATTTATCAGTGTGTTCAGTTTAGTAAGTTTTTTTACATCTGTAAATGTGTCTTTGGAACTCTCCTGTGTAACACTGGCAAATAAAATGTTTTGCATCAAGTGTTGTTGTCAATCACTCCAAATCCACGAACCTGTAGAACGTAACCCTACTATATGCCTCTCAATTAAAATGAAAACAATTAGTCATGTTGAATTAATGGCATAATGGAATTTTAAAAACAGATTAAAGTAATTAGAAGCTACTGAATTAATTAGCAACTTTTAATTTTATTTTCATGAACTATATTAAAAAATTGATTTAAAAAACAAAATTCTCATTTAAACTTATAATTATCTGATTTAAAAATAAAAAATTCAAATTTAAAAAAAAAATATTTCTTCAAAGTATGATTTTATGAGCCTTGTAATTAATTTAAAACCTATACTTTTGTGATTTCCCTAAAACTCTTATTATTTAATATCCAGATGAACATGCTTTAGTTGCTCTTAATGTTTTAGAAGGAGAGCAGAGATTTCTTACTTTATAATTAATATATATTTAAATTATAGGAGAAATGTTTTTGTGTGTTTGTCACTCAATCACATAAATATCAGCCCAAAGAGACTTGAAATTTTAATAATGTATAATGAAATGGATTACAATACAGGCAACACAACATCCCCAACATTAGCAGTGCATTTAGGATAGGTTCTGGTTCCTATAAAAAAATAGGATCTGTTTCCCAGGAAATAGAGGAAAATAAGCATATACCAACCGCTAAAAATACCAAGGTGAACTGCACACATGACGTGAATAAACTGTTTCAGATCTTCCTGTGGATGAAAAATCTGAAAGGACTGAATCTTCAGACTGTGATATGCAAAACAGAAATACATCAAAGAATTGCAGTGAAAAAGTAATTAACCAAGGTATCACTCAATGAAAAGGCTCAAACTGAAATTCATTTTGAACTTTATATAATTTAAAATTGCTATGTGGTTAATTTGTGCATATACCTTATAAGCAATGTAAATATTTGTTTCTTTCATCTTTATTTACCTTATCTGCTTTAAAAGTTTGAAAAATAATTTATTTACTCAATGAATTTTTAACAGTCTCACAATTATCACAGAGTAACACAAACTGTCACATCTTATAATACAACATTTTTATGCTACAGAAAAGCAGGCTTTTAGCCAATTTTGCTATAAACAGAATTTAGAGGCAATTTAGCAAAAACCCATAATAATTTCACAGAGAACTTTACTAAGATCAGCAATCACAAAAATTAAATTGTAAAATTGTATTTTGATTTTATTTGTTACTGTTAAAATTATGTGTGTGTGTATATATTAGCTTTTAGAGTGCTTAAGGCAGTTATCAAAAAAGGCTCATCATTGTTAAAATTATTTTTTAAAAATATATATTTGAGCCATAATTAGAAAATTATGAATATAAAAGAATTTCCTGCAGTTTTTACACAAATAAAATAAATCAACATCTACAGTAGAATTTATGTTTTAAAGAGAATGCATACTTTAGGGAATTGTTCTAAACTCTTCAACTTCTTCAAATGGCATAATTTGAAGCCTCATTAAGAGTTATTTTAATTATATATACTGAAATACTTGATAATAAATTAAAAAAAGAAAAAGCTGAACCCAAGTACAATGAAGCTGTCTTGCAACAAACTCCAAATATAACTAACAATCTTTTGGCGATGTCCAGCTTCCTATATACCTTATGTTATTTTATAATTTTATATAGTTATAGCCTCTGTGAGTATGAAAATTGAATATAACTGCATGAGTATCTGATTAAAACAGTTTTTGGTATTTTTGATATTTTTCTCAGAATTTCTGCAAATGTGAAGATATTAGGATCCCATTCTGAATTCCATGCATAAAAGAAAACACAATGTTACCATAAAAACATATATATATTTTAATCTTCCCCACCACTTTCTCTGCTTCTAAACAAAAGCTATCTAAGAAAGGTGTGATGTCATCTCTATGAGAATGACGACAGAATAAACATGTCTTAGGATACCATATTTTGTACATGAACACTGAACAAAAAAACAAACCAAAAAAAAAAAAAAAAAAGTGAATGGTTTCTCTAATTCCATTCAAATTCTTTGATTGTGCTGCCAGACAGAACTCTATTCAAGGCTGATGTTATGAAGGAAATTTTTGCAATTCTGGGAAAAAGGAAAAAGGAAGCAGTGAATCTTATGACCTTATAGTTTTACAGTTGATTCTTTTTTAGGAAATAAAAAGGTTTGATCTTTACCGATTTGTTTCGTTTGAGTTATAAATACTCTCCAAGTTCTATCCTTAGACACACAATATTCTTTTTAAAGGTTTTTGAATCTTTGCATTGCAATCATATATACACTAGGTGAAAAAACTGTGTTCTGACTGGACACTCAATCAGACATGTAGGTGATGAAATTATTTTTTCCCATCTTTTACAGATGAGTAAAACCTTCATATATTCTTTGATCAAACTCTGTGCATTCTGTTTCTGTGTCAAAAATTCATCCGCCTTTTGCACCAAACATTAAGCTTCTGTATTCAACATTATTCGAAAAATATAAAACTGATGCCACCAAATCAAGATCTCTCAGAAATATAGGTGATCCAAATCTACAGCTGGTCCATATAAACAAAAATAAACATAAAAACAAAACTATAATTTCTGCTCATGGAGAAAATTTGGATACAAGGAAAAAGTTGAAAAAGGTGGAGAAGAAGCATTGCTGAAATGATTCATCAATTCATTGAACCTGTAACATGCTAATATGTATATAAATGCTTCAGACAAATCTGAATGCATTTGCCAGATACTAGGGAGACTGGAAAGGAATGGACAACAAATTTAATAACTGCATTTAATAATAATTGCAATTAAATCTTAATACGATTTTTTAAAATTGGATTTATTTTTCACTTCTTTTGGAAATTGTGACAATATTAATCAGTCTTTTTTCTCCTTTTATTCATGATTCAGTTTTTGCACATTTTTGTGAAATAATCCCTTTTCCTTATTGGATCGAATGAAATGAATTTCATTATGGAATTTAACTATAGTATCATTTTTAGGCCTAAAAATTATTTACAGTAAGTGAAATTTCTTTAAGTGTTTATTTTGCATTAACTGCTGATCAATATTTTACCACATAATGAGGACTTGTTGATTCATATAGTTAGCAATGTGGAATACATCCACATCACTCATTTACAAAATTTTTAAGCTTAGCACTAAAAATTTATTTACAGAGTTTGTATATAATATATGCTGAAGTTATAACAATAAAGCAATGCATATAAGTTATGACACTTTAAGGACATCAAAGAATCTTACCCAAATTTGCAGTTTAACACGTTTATCTTGCCGAAAAACAGTTTTCACTTTAAAATCAATTCCAACTGTACTCACAAATGCAGATGTAAAGGAGTCATCTGCATATCTAAATAAAAAAGAAGTTTTGCCCACACTACTGTTTCCTATAATTAAAATCTTAAACATATAGTCAAAGTTCTGATCAGGAGCATCTTTCTGCTGTGGTTGGCCAGCCATCTGAAAAATAGTAATGCATGTTATACACAAATAACATTATTTAATAAGGCAATTTTTTATGCCATAAAAATCTTATGAATAGTAGATGAATAGGTAATTTACTAAGCAAAGCAATGAATGGCTGTGCTTAGAAGGAATATTTTGCACAGGAGTTTCTAAGGAAAACCGACTCGTAAATTTAACAGTTAAATTAACTTTGTTTCTTACATTTATTCTTCATTTTGAGAGGCTGCATAAAACATTAACTAAAGTTAATTAACAGTTGTTTTTAAGTTTGGATGAATTATAAGAAGCAGAAATAAAAATACAAACCTTATTCTCATCAACCTAAGAATATTTTTATTTATAAACTCATTTGTAAAACTAACTATTTTCAATATTTTAGTAAATTTACACACTTGCATTCAAGCACCTGTTATGTATTTATAGGATTTCCCTCTAATAGAAAATTACAGCTATACATATGTTGAGATCAAGATGGCTTTTAATTATCATTTTATTGCTACAGTTCATCCAGCTAAATGCTACAATTTATTAATAGCTATATATTTTTGACATCTTGCTATTTTATAAGAAAAATATGCTAGCATGTACAGCAAAATTTAAGATGATATTTAAACCAGTATTGGCAGGCTTTTTTTCACAGTGCAAAAAAGTTTGGGAAAAACCAGCTTGAAGAAATGAAGACAGTAAGTTCTAAACTTCCATTTTATTCATATGCACCACTGTTATACTATTAATTTTAATATCTTAATTTTCTACATAATTTAACTAGTCTCATTTGCATCCTGCAACAACCTCTTCTTGGTAATACACACATGCATATGCAGGGCTACTGTCAGAGATATTGCAACTGGTGCAGCTGCATTTGTGGCATAATTAAGAGGTGGCAAAATTTTTTTTAATTTAGAGTAGTACATAGCAGCAAAATTTAGGGGCAGCAACAGTTATAGAATTTAGGAGAGGTGCTGGGCATGGATGGAAAATTTCTTATTTAGGAATAAGAAATTTGTAGAGCTTAGGGAGACGCTACACAGCAAAATTTATGACCTACAGAGAATGCAATGGGGGACAAAATGCCCAGCACCAGCCAAATTGCTGTAAGATCGCCTTTCATACTAACGTTAAATAAAAATTTTAACTGAATTTCTGATATATATTTCTCTATATGATATAATATATTTGAGAAAAAGAAAATAATGCAAATCATGACAATTGCAGTTTATTTTAAAGAGTATAGAGACTTTTCAGGTATGTAGTCAAATAATGAACACACATTTAAATATTTCCATCGGAAAATGTAAATTCCTCCCCCCCCCCAATTTTCAATAGCTTATATTTCAGAAACACGGAAAATAAAATATATAAATATTTATGGAAATTTTTCCAAAAAAAAGTGGTTTTTAATCCAAACATTAAAGTATTTTAAAACAAACTTTTTGCTATAAAGAGTACATAGAAATAGAAATATATAGAAATATTTTATTTACAGATAACATATTAGTGCATGCAGCAATTAGCACACAAGCTTATCTTTTTGAATTTTTGTGTACAATATCTGCATACATATTTATTACAGTTGTTGCAAATATTAGAAGTTTTGTTACATTTGCATTTCCTTACACTGGAAGAGAGAACAAATTTGTTTTTACTAGATATATATTCTTTTCTTAGTTCTTCTGCCAAACACAATAGAAAATCTCTTCTGCTGATATTTTCTTTTGTAGCTTCCTTATACAGAATCCATGCATTTATTCCTGCTAAGTCCAAAATATTGTAGAATACAAGTACTGGCCAATGGCAGGATGGTGCTTTCACAGAGTACTTTCTTGCCATTTGATCCAAACAATCTACCCCGAATTTTGTAGAATTGTAAAACTGTATTACATCAGGAACCTTCTTTTCATTAGATTCAAATTCAACTGATGAATGGAGTGTATTTAACAAAATTACGTTTTTGTTCCTTTTACCTTGATATGATGTTAAGTGTTATATAGTCTTGTTTCATCACAACTGAAGAAAAAAGCTTATTTCTTACATTTTTGAAACTAGAGGGAATTTCTCTTTTTGCATGTTTTGCTGTTTCAACATGACTCAATCCTTTTGATTTTAGGGATTTCACAAGTTTTACTGATATAAAAAAACTGTCTGTAGTTATATTCTGGCCAGTATTTTTGTAAGAATCAACTAAACAATTTACTACGTTCTCTTCTAAACTTTGATCACTTGGTCTCATTTCATCTTTTCCTAAATATGGAAATCCGTTTAATAAGTATTTTGTCCTAACATCTACTGCTAGCCAAAACTTTACTCCGAATTCATCGGGTTTGTTAGGCATATACTGCTAAAAATGGAATCTTGTTTTTGTAGGGAATAACAGTTCATAAATCGTAATGTTTCATTTGGTTTGTAGCAAAGCTTACAGTTTTCTATAAAAGTATTCCATACATTGGTTCCATACATTGGATATTAGTGCAAATTTATCACACTGCAAACATGAAGACCTAGTTAGTTTATCATCAAAATGAAGAAATTTCATAATTTCCAGAAACCTATCTCTACTAATTGTTTCATGAAAAAACATTGGTCCCCAAGTCTTGAACCACAAACTAAGAATTAGTAAGCCTTTGGCGGCTAATGTCCCCCCTTACGTGCAAAAACGCTATGAATGCTTCCAATTCTGCTAATAAAATAGTGCAAGAAACATTATGAAGTTTACGCTTGGCTTCAGCATCAGTACACTCCTTTAATGATGCGCAAAATGTTTTCATTTATTATTAACTTCCATGCACTAAGAGCTTTACCAGAACAAATGTGACGTTTAGCATAGGATGTCGGTCCAGAATTCTCTCGCAAGATATTTTGAAAGGGTCGCCGACCAGACGTATTTGAAGTATTTTCTACTTTCCATACAGTTCAATCACTAGCAATTTCTTTACAAGTGTTAGTTTGAATTAAGCTGAATTTATTATTCCCTTTTGAGCGTCTACTAGTTCTCGCTTTGGCATTCTTAGGTACGGCAGAATTTGAACTCGTACAAACAAATCCATTTATACTTTCACTTGAGCTAGAGGATGATATTGCCTGATTACTCTCTATAATAAATTCACAATCACAAGATGTTTCATCTCCATCTTTATATGTCGAACGACACCCAAATTCTGGATTCAATTAACAACGGGGGTACTATGTTTATTAATTGAATTTAAGAAGTTTTTTAAACATAAAAAATCAACTCATTTTTATCCTAAAATTTATTTTTATGTGTAGCGTATTTTCATTATATCCTTAAAATTCTAATTTAGAATGTAATTGTCAAGAACTGAATTCTAATTTCAGAACCGGAATCAGCATCAGATTGTTCTTGCATCAGTTTCACGATTTCTTCATGCGTTAGTCCCTACGCACCATTAATATGTCACTATAATAAATTCATGTAAATATAATAAAATTTTCCACTAAAACTTATTATGAATAATAAACAAAATATCTACGAAAAATGTAGGAATGTTCAGCTCGTAATAATCCCTTTTCTCTGTTTTCTTTTCACAAAGAAAAGTATTGCACATATTTAATCATGTGACTGGTAGATGTGAAACTACGCAGACCCACCATATTCTTTCCTTTGTTTGTATTTTGTTTAGCAGGTGCAAATAAAAATAGGTTACAGAAGTAACAGTGTTCAGATAATACAATGGAATGTATTTACATTTCTTTTCTCTCAAAGGAGTTAAAATGACACCTGCCAGATTTCTAGGTATAATCATTTGTTAAGGCTAAAATAAAAATACGATTTTCTTGAAATCTTTACTATTTCGTAAATCACGATTTAGGAAAAGTCGAGAAAAGATTAAGATATTTGCGAAAAAAAAGAAGAGCTGTCAGAGATAAAAGTTCGCTAGGTGTCAAAATGACCCCTTCCGTAATTCTAGTGTTAAAGTAGACGTATTTCTAAACATACCTGCAAAAAATTAGAGTTTTTTATTTAAAATTTTCTAAGATATACACGAATTTACATATTTTCGCATTTTGAAATTTGGCATCTTTTTTTTTTGAGCTATAATAATGCCAAATGTGGTTATGGATTTTTGTTACAGTGAATTGCCACAGCTATTTTTAACCTTAAACTTCAACTAAAATTTTATGGAGAGAAATTTTCCCCCTCAAAGATGCGTAATAAATATTTATTAATACTATATGAAAAGCAATTTTTTTTAAATTATAGATGAAAGTATTCAAATTTTTAACTATTTTTTTAAATTTCTCTCTTTCTTCCTTCTTAAAAAAAATATTTGTAAGAGCAAATTTTTATCTTCGGAGTTTTATCGTCTGCTACTTTACTTTAACTTCGTTTAAATCGAATTGTCTAAAACTGAGAACTTTCGCTTGATGTTTAAAGTCAGCAGGTTCTGTGGACAAGTAAGAATAATTATATAGACGACACCCAAATTCTGGATTCAATTAACAACGGGGGTACTATGTTTATTAATTTAAGAAGAATTTAAGAAGTTTTTAAACATAAAAAAATCAACTCATTTTTATCCTAAAATTTATTTTTATGTGTAGCGCATTTTCATTAATTATATCCTTAAAATTCTAATTTAGAATGTAATTGTCAAGAACTGAATTCTAATCATCAGTAATATAATAAGTAATTATTACGGTTATTAATAAATCCTTCTTATAAAGTAATTGAAAATATTTCAAAAACCTTTCTTCTGAATGCAAATATTTCCAATTTTATATTAATCGAGATTGCACGATATTATTTATTTGCACTTCAATTCTTACCGTCAGCTCTAGTAGAAGTTACAAATCAATTATATTTAATTAAGGAATGACCATCTAAATTTACAAACAGCATACCATAACAGCAATTCAATTATTGGCGTTGTATCTTTCATGTTACTCCCGATTGGCAAGCTACATGATTTTTAATGATTATTCGGGTTTTGCTAGTAACTTCACTTGGAAATCGCGCTTAAACTAGGTTAGTTGGT